GAGGAAAAAAAGTGAAAAAAAGAATGAAACCTTTGGATGTTGCCGATTAGATAAGTTTGTTGATATAGAAATGGCTAGTTTGTATTATTTTATATTGAAGTACAAAGTTGAGGTTGGATGCTATTATCTTATTCTACTGCACTAAAAGGAGTTGGAAGTCAATACTTTTTCTTTCTTTCTTCCTTTGGCCTTACACTTTTCCCTTCCCTTTTTCCTCCCTTATTTGCCTATTGAAGAATGTTAGCACCCACCGCTTTTAGAAGAATGAAATATTCTAGGAAATATTTAAAAAGGCAGAATATTATAGCTCCCTGGATGAGAAAACATGCTCTTAGAAAGCAGCCCCCACCTTTGTTAATAGTCCCAGAAAGACTGGGCCACCTTATCTACAAAACCAAAGGCCTCCAGCTCCAGGTTGATGGGATTAAGACATGACCCTCCAGGACATAATAGGATTATTTACCATATGGCACCTGGGGATATTACATCAGCCAGCACAGTTCAACCAAGCTTATATCCGGCAAACTCCTAGGATTTGCACACGACCCCTACAGCAACCAATAGCATAACTTTCTTACACAGGAACAGGAAGCTCTCGGGCTGTGATGACAAACCTACGGCACACATGCCCGAAGTGGCACACAAAGCCATGTCGCCCAGCACGCTTGGCCTTGCCTGTTTGTCATCCGGGTTTCTGGCGCACATGCACATGCGACAATCAGCTGTTCTTCATGTGCGCAGCAGTGCTGAAAACCGGTGTGTGCATGTGCGCCAGTCAGGTGCGCATGCACACCAGAACCCAGAAGTTAGGCTTTTCCAGAGAGTGATCCCTTCTTGCGAGCGGCAGTGCCAAAAACCGGTGTGCACATGCGCGCCAGCCACCTGATCGTTGGGCACGCATGTGCGCTAGAATCAAGTTCAGCTTTTCCAGAGCGCAGCCCTGACAAATGTGCAACGTTTCCGCACAATCTTTTCGGCACTCGGTCCCAAAAAGTTTAGCCATCATGCTCTAGGGCAAGGCCCAAGAGAGGGTATAAATATATCTCTCTCTCCACTCCATATGTTCAGCTACCCGGGATTTCAAACCCATGTGATCCTGTTCACCATTAAACCATCCTTCCAAGCAGTCTCCATGTTTCCAGTGTCTTTCTCTCTACTTGGGAACTGAGCCCAGACGGACATTTCTTCCTACACTATTATATTCTTTTGCATTTTAGATTAATCAAATCTCAAATGAGAAAAATTGCAGAGGTTGAGAAACACTGTGTGACTTCATTTGTTCTCTTCCTGCAAAGAAACATTGGAGAAGCTGTGAAACATGCAAGCTCCCCAGGGAGAATCCCCTCAAGAGCAAAATGAAAATAATCTTCTATTTTCTTTTTGAACAGCCTCTGTTGTAAAGTTGCTGTTAGCAAACAGTTCTGCGCTTTATTCTAATGGGCAAAACAGAGCAAGGGTGGGGAAAAGGAAGATTTTTTCCCCCTGGGGAGAAATTACAAACATTCTATCAACGCAAAGACACATAAACAGCCCCACCAGTTCTGCCTTTGTCACCAAATTCCCATTGTGTTACAACTACTAAAAGGTGCAGAGAAGAGTAACTAGGATGATTAGAGGACTGGAGACTAAAACATATGAAGAACAGTTACAGGAACTGGGCCTGGCTAGTCTAGTGAAGAGAAGGACCAGGGGAGACATGAGAGCCGTCTTCCAATATTTGAGGGGCTGCCACAGAGAGGAGGGGGTCAAGCTATTCTCCAAAGCACCTGAAGGCCAGACAAGGAATAATCGATGGAAACTGACCAAGGAGAGATTCAATCTGGAAATAAGGAGAAATTTTCTGACAGTGAGAACAATCAACCAGTGGAACAGAACTTCAGAAGTTGTGGGAGCTTCATTACTAGAAGCTTTCAAGAAGAGATTGGACTGCCATTTGTCAGAAATGGTGTAGGGTCTCCTGCTTGAGCGGGGGTTGGACTAGATGACCTACAAGGTCCCTTCCAATTCTGTTAATCTAATCTAAATCTAAACCCCCTGCATTCCACAGAAAAGCTTCTCTCCACGGAACCGGTCCCTGGTGCCAAAAAGATTTGGGGCTGCTGTTTTATTGTATACCATTAGAGCTGTTCCATTATCAAAGGCATTTGACAACAATTGCACAGTTACCTGCGCCACCAGGTAGGAGCCTGGTGGCGCAGTGGACTAAGTGCTGTTAAAGTAGTACTTAAGTTGCCAGCTGCCTGCAATTATTGCAAGTTCAAATCTCACCAGGCTCAAGGTTGACTCAGCCTTCCATCCTTCCGAGGTAGGTAAAATGAGGACCCGGATTGTGGGGGCAATAAGCTGACTTTGTATAAAAAAAGAACACCGCCTGGGGGGAGTCGAAAGCCCTACTAAGCATAAAGAGTATGAAGGCTATTGCTTAATGCACTGTAAGCCGCCCTGAATCTCCGGAGAAGGGCGGCATATAAATCTAACTAATAAATAAATAAACTAATAAATACTACAACGAGATACGTTTTCATGGGTGCATCATTTGCTTCTTGGATAGATCCTCATTTAATATGATAAATCCCCAATAGGATAGATCCCCAATCCTAAATTGGGACCAGCAACTTGGTTAAGCGAAGTGGTCGCTAAGTAAAACTGTGACTGTGCTTATGTTCTAACTTCAGTTTTCCTTTGATTTAAAGACCTGCAAAGATCATAATTGTGAGGCCATAAAGTTACTTTTTCATCTTCATAAGCGTGAACAGTCGCTAAAGGAGGCAGTCTCTAACTGAGGACTATCTGTATTTCAGCCACAGTGGTGCAGTGGTTAGAGTGCAGTACTGCAGGCTCCTTCTGCTGACTGCTGCTTGCCTGCAATTTGGCAGTTTGAATCTCACCAAGCTCAAGGTTGACTCAGCCTTCCATCCTTCCGAGGTGGGTAAAATGAGGACCCAGATTGTTGGGGGCAATAGGCTGATTCTGTAAGCTGCTTAGAGAGGGCTGTGAAGTGATATATAAATCTAGGAGCTATTGCTATTGTTACATATCTGTCTGTTTGCTATTCAGTTTCACATCCCATGTTTTGTTCAGAAGCTCAAGGCAACCTCCCATTTTTCCCCCATAACCACATTCCTATAAGGCAGGTTAGGTTGAAAGACAACGGGGCCCAAGTGAGTTATTGAGCTTCCATGTCTGAGGATGGCCCTGAACACAACCTGGCTCTCTGCTCTCTTTCTGTCACCATTTTGTCTTTTTCCCTAGGCAGATGGACACCAAGCCAACACTGCTAAGCTGTTGTCACTTGTCATTCTTATTTCCTAAGGAGGCCAGAGGCGACATTATAATCATCATAACCTCCTTGCAGGGAATAATCTGGAGTTGACAAGGGAAGGAAGGGCCTTTAGGAAAGACTCAAATTATAGTAGTCAGCTAAAAGGGTTTAGAAACCTGTTTTTCCACTTTTCCATTTGTGACCTGGCACCCACCCTCTCTGGCAGAAGTTACAAGACTTCTCACAACTATGAAGGGAACAAAAGAGTATCTGCTCCTTGCTGATTACATAACTTAGGAAGCTCACAATAAAACCAATTTCACAATGTGCTTCTTTACATTCTGCCAGAACCACTGCAGTATGATAGACAAATAGGTAGGTCACTTGGGAACACAACATACGAACAGAATAGCAGAGTTAGAAGGGACTTGGGAAGCTGTCTAGTCCAACCCTCTGCTCAGGCAGGAAACCCTATACCATTTCAGTCAAATGGCTGTCCAATCTCTTCTTAAAAACTCCCAGTGTTGGAACATTCACAACATGGAGGCAGGTTGTACAACTGATTGTTCTCACTGTCAGAAAATTTCTCCTTAGTTCAACAACTAATTCCCTCAACACTGTCAAACTATTTACTAAGTCTGCACTATTATTAATCTTGTCATCATTCCCATCAACCATCTCCTCCCACTTATGATGTATGACTGTGACCTTGTTGCTGGTATCCTTATGATTTATATTGACTGTTTCTTATGATTTGATTGCTTATTTGTTCCCTATGACCATCATTAAGTGTTGTACCTTATGATTCTTGACAAATGTACCTTTTCTTTTATGTACACTGAGAGCGTATGCACCAAGACAAATTCCTTGTGTATCCAATCACACTTGGCCAATAAAGAATTCTATTCTATTCTATTCTAGGTTGGTTTTCTCCTTGATTAGTTTCCATCCACTGCTTCCTGTCTTTTTTCAGGTGCTTTGGAGCAGGGGTCTCCAAACTACAGGCCACGTATCAGTATCAATCCATGGCCTGTTAGGAACCGGGTCGCATAGCTGGAGGTGAGCGGTGGGTGAGCAAAACTGCACATGCATGGGATCTAGGCAGTGGTGGGATTCAACTGATTTAACAACTGGTTCTCTGCCCTAATGATTTCTTCCAACAACCAGTTCACCAAACTGCTTAGAAATTTAACAACCGGTTCTCCCAAAGTGGTGCGACCTGGCAGAATCCCACCACTGGATCTAGGTTGCGTGCTCCGCCTCCACACATACCCAATCCGTGAAAAAATTGTCTTCTACTAAACCAGTCCCAGGTGCCAAAAAAGTTGGGGATTGCTGCTTTGGAGAATAGGTTGACCCCTCCTCTTCTTTGTGGCAGCCCACAGCCTATTAATGATTGGAGGGTTTACATGGAGGACTTAATGATCGGAGGACTTACTTAAGAAAGCCATCAAATGAGCATGGTGCATCCAACTTAGCTAGCAGAAGATCCATATCACAAAACCTGGGAATTGCTTCTGTCTATCAACTGGAAAATTCTTTTCCTGACTCTCAGCTCTCAAGATGCAGCTCACCCATAGATCTGGAAGGCAGCTTTTCAGCCATTGCTTCTCTCATTGCTCTGTTGTTAAATTTTGTCCATAACGGCTATCATGCTATGGTTGCAATCTAGACTTTCCACCCTCCTAACCCCTAACTCAGAAATTGCCTATTTGATAAAAGATTCACAGACGCGATATGGCCAGATACTTATCTATATTGCAGACTACAATAAAGCCTTAGAAAATATACTAGAAGATCTAAATGCCACATTAAACACCAGTCAAAGCCCAGGCTTGTGTTTCAGGGGCTTCGATTTGAGTCTCTGGACCTCCTGAGTCAATAGCTATTTGCTATTTTCTCTTCAGGGCTGTGGGAGACAGCTGGGATTGTTGACTTAATCATCCTCTCAAGCGTGGAAACTGCTGATTCTCATCTCTCCAACTCGGTTCCTAGTCACTGCTAGAGCAAGGAAAAATTAATAATATTATCAGACACTTAATATCATATCAAGCCTGGTGCAAATCATGGTCTTAATTTTTTTTTTTTATAGTGGATAAAAAGCCTGCAGTCCGGAAACGATCATTTCCAGTAGCCCCAGCTATTATGAGGATGCAACATCTAAAGGTTTATGGAGATTCTCAATCATCCAGAAGTTCCTTGGATGAGAAGCGAAATGTTTTCAAGGGAAAAAAAACAAAAAAGTTAATTGCCTTTTGAAAAGCACCTTTAAAACAACATCTACTGGTTCACCAATTCTCTAGTCATGTAGTCAAACGTTGTCAGTGGCAGAGGAAAAGTTTATTTATTTGATTTTCATCCAGCCTTATTATTGTTTATAAATAACTCTAGGCAGTGAATATACCTAATACGCCTTCTTCCTCCTATTTTCCCAACAACAATCCTGTGAGGTGGGTTTGTTCTGAGAGGGAGGGATAGGCCCAAAGTCTCCCAGGCAGCTTTCAAACCTAGAACTCAGTCTTCTAGTGACTGACCCGAAACCACCCAGATGGCTTTCATGCCTAAGGCAGGACTAGAACTCACTGTCTCCTGGTTCAGCACTTTAACCACTAAACCAGGGGTCAGCAATCCGCAGCTCTGGAGCCACATGTGGCTCTTTCATCCCTCTGCTATGGCTCCTTGTTGCTGGTCAGTTCCACAATTGATAGGGCTTTCAGTTAAAACAAGTAGATGAAAAAGGATGCCGTGCTAGGAGGAGACTCTATGGTGGGGGAACTGGACTTCCAGTTGGCTCCAGAATTGAACGGGAGGCTTCCAGTTAGGACCTTTGTGGCTCTTTGAGCGTTTAAGGTTGCCGACCCCTGCACTAGACTAAGCTGTCCCTTTAAATATAGTCATACATTTTCATTTTACTTATTAGATTTGTGTGCCACCCATCAAGTCTAGAGGCGACTCTGGGCAGTTTACAAACGTTTTGTGGGATCTGTTTTTGTTTTTCCGCTCTTTGGCTTTTTATTTTTAGTACTGGTACTTGTCCCAGTTTTGCAATTTTTGATCGTTGTCCCTGATCTGCTGTCAACCTTTTGGCTACGCTCTAGGGAAGGCCGATTCAGAGAGTTGGCAATCAATAAATAGGCAATAAATAATTATTTGAGTAACTGCCTATGAAGAAAACGAGTATTACATCTGATCAGCAAAGAGATTAAGGAATTATTTAAAAGGCATCATAGAAGCAATATCCTTTCAGCGTTTAACATAAAAAGCATACTTGTTGCATTTATAGCCCATGTTCCTCTGGGAATTCAAGGCAGCCTATATACTGCAGCCTGCCACAACCACACAGCACACACCCAGAAACTTCGTACAACAACAACATCCCTAAAATAGATTAAGTGGTGAGATAACAGCCGGTCCAAAATCAGCCAAGATGTTTCATGATCAAGTAAAAGCAAGATCTGGAATCTGTCCCCAGTCTTATTCCAACATTACACAAAGACGCCTGTCTTCGCTTGTTCTCTAATGGGGACAATGAGCAGGCACTATTTTGTCTAAGTGTCTCTGAGATTTTTGGCCACAGGTACTCTCGTTGGGAAATACCCTGTTTCCCCCCCAAAAAAATCAGACATCCCCTGATAATAAGCCCAATCAGGCTTTTGAGTGCATGGCAATAAAGCCAAGCGGTTAATTCAGGGTTCAAAAAAATATAAGAGAGGGTCTTATTTTCGGAAATAAGAGGAAACACTAGCAACCAGGACCCCAATTTTCTGATAAGAGGAGGAAGAAACAGGCCATGTGTTCCAATTCTCTCCCAAATAACCAAAGCTCCTTTGCCAGGGAGGTTCAGTGCTAACTCTCTACCATTGTGTGGCTGAGTACAACTCAGGGTAACACTCTTTAGTAGCCATACAAATCCTTTTCTAATTTGGTATCTCTTCCCTTTGAATTGTTTTTTCTTGCTAAGCCATGACAGGGTTGACATAAAACACTCAAGCTAAACCAAGTGAACTGCATTATGGCTTAGCAAGAAAGGTGAATGCAACCACAGTGTGCTCAGGTAAAGAGGGAGGGAGGGAGGGGAGGGAGGGAGAGGAGGGAGGAAGGTTCGAGGGAAGAGAAGGAAGGAAGGAGGAAGGAAGGAAGGAAGGAAGGAGGAGGGAGGGAGGGAGGGAGAGGAAGGAAGGAAGGAAGGAAGGAAGGAAGGAAGGAAGGAAGGAAGGAAGGAGCAAGGGAGGGAGGGAGGGAGGAACGAAGGAACGAAGGTGCGAGGGAGGAGATAGGTGCGAGGCAGGGAGGGAGGGAGGAAGGTGCAAGGGAGGGAGAGAAGGAAGGAATGAAGGAACGAAGGTGTGAGGGAGGGAGGAAGGAAGGAAGGGAGGAAGGTGTGAGGGAGGGAGGAAGGAAGGCAGGAAGGTACAAGGAAGGGAAGAGAGAAGGAAGGAAGGAAGGTGCGAGGGAGGGAGGGAGGGAGGAAGGCAGGAAGGTACAAGGAAGGGAAGGAGAGAAGGAAGGAAGGAAGGTGCGAGGGAGGGAGGGAGGGAGGAAGGAAGGAAGGTAAGAAGGAAGGAAGGAAGGAAGGAAGGCAGGAAGGTACAAGGAAGGGAAGGAAGAAGGAAGGAAGGCAGGTGCGAGGGAGGGAGGGAGGGAGGAAGGGAGGAAGGAAGGTAAGAAGGAAGGAAGGAAGAAGAAGGAAGGAAGGAAGGAAGGAAGGAAGGAAGGAAGGAAGGAAGGAAGGAAGGCTTATAGAACCTATGCTGAGAAACAAAAGCAAAAAGAATACCCTCCACGTTTTTATGACCCTCATCTTAAATTCAGACAATTCAGGTCCAGGATCATTCCAGGCAAACACACTGCAACAGCAACACCATTCCAGACTTTGCAACTAATTCAAAAGCCACACTGTGCCAACTGCAAAAAAAGGCATTTTCGGTCACTGCTATCTGTTTAGGGCCTTGAACAAGGCAATCTGGCTTCTGCTATTTGTTGTTTCCTTATCCTTCATCTCCACCAACTTTGAAGCCTGCCAGCCCCTTCCTAAGCAACTGAAAAATTACTATATAGTCACAACAACCTGTAGCTCTCACCATCTGGCTCCCTGAACTTCCGCCGGTAGCTTTGCCTCTAAACTATTTTTTCTCTTCCTCTTCCTCTTCCTCCTTCTCAGCAGATCTAGGTGATGACAAAATGCCAACCCACAAAGGGTCACACAAACTACCCAAAGTGAAGCCTTTGACAGAATTCTGGGATCAAGTTTATTTATTTATTTATTTATTTTAAAAAAAACCTATACCTCAATGGACTTAGTCTGATGACCAATAAGCATTATTACAGAAGCACTGTAAGTAAAAGGTGAGTTGACATGCTAGGCAAAGTTTATAAGTATGAGGTCACGAGAGTTTGATGCTTCTTCCTGATGTTTTAAGGTAGCCTTTCTCCAGGCTAATCTTCTGCAGAGGAATTGCGGCCTACATATTTTGGAGATGAAGCTTAACACAGTGGTGAAATCCAAATTTTTTTACTACCGGTTCTGTGGGCATGGCTTGGTGGGCATGGCAGGGAAAGGATACTGCAAAATCCCCCATTCTCTCCCCACTCTGGGGCCAGCCAGAAATGGTATTTGCCAGTTCCCTGAATTACTCAAAATTTCCGCTACTGGTTCTCCAGAACCTGTCAGAACCTGCTGGTTTCCTGCTTGAGCAGGGGGTTGGACTAGAAAACTTCCAACGTCCTTTCCAATTTTACTATTCTGTTATTCTGCTTTTTAATCCTGTTGTTAATCAAGCTTAGAGAATGTTCTGATGCAACATATTAGTGAGCAAGCAGAGATACTAGGCGCCGTCACCACCGCTTTTGATCTCGGGAAGTGGGTGAGAAGGTGATGCAGTCACTGACACAGCAAAATATATTGTTGGGTTCCTATCAGCTACATTACCCTCTGTCCAAACTGAGCTGAGTTGTTAAAGACAGCTTGCTGACTGAGGAATTCTGGGAGTTGAAGTCCACAAGTCTTAAAGTTGCCAAGGTTGGAGACCCCTGTTTTAAGATGTCTGCCCTCTTCCCTACTTGCTCTTCTTCTTCTATCTTGGGTTAGTTTTCCATTAAAAAATATGGCACTTCTTTGGCATCGGTAGCAGTGGTGGGTTGCTCCCGGTTCGGCCTGGTTCGGCTGAACCGGTAATAGTGACAATGTGACGTCACCGAACCGGTTCTCTGTGACTGGGAGTTGGGCCCTCCCACCCGCCCCCACTTTATTCCTACCTTTATTTCTTGGTTTTTAGCCCAGCTGATAGGCACGGCAGAATGGATTGCCGCACCTCAGCTGGGCAGAAACCTAATGCGCTTATGCGGCCCGCAATTTTTGCTCACGTGCAAGCGAAGCAAGCAGGTGCACGATGATCGTGCGCAAAGCGCATGCATGAAGAGAACTGGTGGTAACACCGGTTGGAATCCACCACTGATCAATAGGTCTCCTATTCAATCCCCTGGACTGTCCAAAATCAAATGACAATGAGTGAGATGGTGGAGAGCCCTTGAAAAAAGTAACATCAGGCAAAGAGGAAGCATGCACAGATAGCCCTTACTTACAACTGCCCATTTATCCCAAAGGTGTTTTTTCAAAAGGCAACTGGACTTTTTTTCCCCCCTTGAAGACTTTTTACTTCCATCCAAGAAGTTTCTTCAGTTTTTTGGATGAGAAGCAAAATGTCTGAATTGAAGAAGCTTCTTGGATAAGAAGTGAAACATCTTCAAGGAAAAACCGAGGAAGTCCAACTGCCTTTGGAAAAAGCACCTTTGGGACAACCATGACCTGGATGACTGAGAACCTGCATAGACAACCGGTCAGTGACTATTTAAAGTTACAATGGACCTCCGTTGAGTACTTATGATCCATTTCTGAAGATCCAACAGCCACCATGCCATGGTCACAGAACACGTGTTGGGTGTTTGGCAACCAACTCACATTTATGTCATCTGCAGTGTCCTACAATCATTTGACCATGTTTAATAATGGTTTTGCCAAAAACAGACACTTACATCTGGTTTCCAGCAAAACTAGCCCATAATGCACCACTAATTAACTTAATGACTGTGGTGTTTGCTTAATGATTGCCCCCAAAAAGGTCCTAAAATTGGGTCAATCACATGGGTGATCATGATCAGATGCTCTCACAAATCAAGGATTACCTTTAACAGCTTCCTATATCATCTATATCATTATCCATATATAAGATAAGGTTTTATAATAAACTAGCTGCTAACTTAAAGTGTCTTGAGTGAGTTGGGTTACATGTAAGGATAGAAAGGGGGAACATTGGATGAAGTCATACAAGACTCTAAATTGTGGTTTAATTTAATTTCTTTTTGAATAATCTATATTGGTTGAATGCCATCACATTACTAAACAACTAATTCCCAAAACAATGTCAAATATGCTGTAGAATATCAAACCATGTAGTAGGGCTATATTACTATTATCCTTCTCATCTTTCCTATTAACTATCTCTTTATCATCTTATGAATATCATTTTGGTGTTTGCATCTTATGATTTATGTCGATTGCCTTTATTTAGCATCTTATGTCTCTCACGGAGTATTGCATCTTATGATTTAGGACAATTGCATTATGATTATAATCATGATTTATCACTTGTTTGTATGTACACTGAGAGCTTATGCACCGGAGACAAATTCCTTGTGTGTTGAATCATACTTGGCGAATAAAGAATTCTATTCTAATGCAGGCACTGAGCTAAACCACAAACCATGATTCCAAACTATAGAGTCTGGGTTTAAGACCAACTGGAAACCAAACCAGCCCCGTTACAAGAAAATGAATGTGGCTTGACATTGTGTGAAGCCGGTTTCTCAGGCCACCCAGTCTGTTGATCTCATTAACCATCCTGCCCTAAGGCTCCTCAAGGTTTCCTACAAAAGCTCCAGCAGACTTCAAGGGCATCCTAAACTGGGGTGGTAAAAGTGCAAGGATGCCTCCAAGCCTGAGAGGTGGATGCAGTGAGGAGCCAGAGAAACATGCAAACAAAAGCTGCAGATGTTAATAATTACGGCATAAGAACCTCACCCACCCAGAGAGAGAAGAATTCCATTAGGATGAGATCAAAATCCAGCCGACAGTTTTAGAACAAGAAAGAAAAAGGCAGACTTGTTTACAGAAGGTCTGTCATAAAATAGACTTCCCATACAAAATGAAACTTTCGGAGTAAAGTTTGTGAGATCTGAAGCTGCGTAAGTGCTCAGTAAGTTTCACGTCGTTCTACTGTGAGCAGAGAGGAGATGCTTGCAAGATGGCAGGACCGGAGGGAGCCCAGCCTGCTTTTCCACCCGTCGTCATCTGGCACATGCAGCCAAAGAAGAACCCAGCAGAGTTCTCAGAATGAAGAGAAGCAGCTGTGACTATTTCACTAGGATTGCTCGTTCTCCACACTTGCAGATCAAACAGAAGGACGGAAGGAAAACAGCACGCACAGGTAGTCCTCGACTTATGACCACAATGGAGTCCAAAATTTCTAAGTTAAGTGAGCTTTTGTCCCACTTAGGGGAGGGGGGGTGAAAGCCCTACTAAGCAGGTATATACAAAAGTATGAAGGCTATTG